GCAAAAGTGGCAGATCCAATAAAGTATAACTCCAGCTTTGAGATAAAAATTTCAAATCACAAGTCTGGCATGGTGGTGCACGCCTTTAATCCCAGCTTTTGGGAGGCAGAGTCAGGCAGATCTCTGTGAGTTCCAGGCTGGCCTGGTCTACGTGCAGCGAGTTCCAAGTCAGCTGGGGCTACAGGGAAACCCTGTCTCAAAAGAAAAAGAGAGAGAGAGAGAGAAGGAAGAAGAAGAAGAAAAGAAAGAAAGAAAGAAAGAAAAGAAAGAAAAAGAAAAGAAAAGAAAAGAAAAAGGAAAATCACGCACCACCAGCTCCAGACTGGCAGCTCTGCCACAGACATGCAGTGTGGTCACTTACAAATTTGAAACCCAGCCAGGAAGCCCAATTACCTTAGTGAATTGGCCACAGATGTGGATGTTGGTTTAAGAACCTGGAACAGATTGGGGGTGAGAAGAATCTCACCTTTTCCCCAGTGGTCTCAAACAGATGAACTCTCATCACTAGTTTATTATAAAAGATACAATCCAGGAACAGTCAAATGAAAGAGATCTGTAGGAAATGGTGTAAGGAGCAGGTGCCACAGCTTTCACGCCTCACAGCTTGAGTTTCTCTCTAATGCATTCACCAACCCAGAAGCTCCATGAATCTCATTGTTCAAGAATTTAAAAAATATAGAGCTTTATTCTTTGGGAATTTCATGCATGCACACAGTATGTTTTCATGATATTCACCCTGTTCTCCCTCCCCAGCTCTTCCTGAATCCACCCCACATGTCACTCTTCAAACTTCATGCCTTTTTTTTTTAAATAAAAAAACCCCTCACTGAACTGAATTGGCGCTATCTATATGCAGGGCTACGCGACTATCCATGGAAGCATGGTCAGCCTACCAGGGGCCACACCCCTAAAGAAACCTGACTCTCCCTTCCCTAGCAGCCACCAACTGTCACAGGCTCCTCAGTTAGGGATGGGGTCTTGTGCGCCCCTCTCCCACCCACGCTGGACTGTTGCTTGGCTGGAACTTGGGCAGGTCTTTTGTAGGAAACCACAGCTACTGTGAGTTCATGACTGCAATAGTCCTGTCATGTTCGGAAGGCAGAAGGCACTGTTTTTTGTTTTTTGTTTTGCCTGATACCTCCCCAACCTCTGGCTCTTGCAATCTTTCTGCCCCTTCTTCCCCTATGTTCCTTGAGCCTTGGGGGAGAAGGTGGGAGCTAGATGTCTCTACAGTTGAGCACACAGGCACATAATCTGTGCACTGCCAGTTGTGAATTTCTGTTTTACTAGCTGTCCACTACACAAAGATGCTTCTCAGATGAGGACTGAGAGTTGCACTAATCTATAGGTATAAAGATATTGTTGTGCCCAGTTCTAGAGACCCCCAAAGACCACCAAGGAGCCGACCGATGCAAACACACAAGGGTTCTTTTATTGTTACAAGCTCAAGCTTGGGCCCACTCTGTCACCGACTCAGCGGATCTCAGAAGTGAGACCCCTTGCTTTGGGAGACAGGGGTTTTTATAGGTTTATTTCAGCAAGTTCAGCAAGTAGGGGACTAGGGGTCTCCAGCCTGGCAAGCATCTGATTGGTTGCAGCTCAATGCCAAACCCTAAACTGCTGGCTTCAGGAAATCTGAAAAGACATCTGGACTTTTAGTACTTTCCTGTCCCTGGTTAATTGACCATTGGCAGGGGAGTTGTTCTCTATCTGTTCCAAGTATTGTGGTTTTTCTTGGAACAGGGCCCAGGGCTGGGTCAGTCCTATGGAGATTTTATCCAAGATGGAGTCACTCAGGTCTCTCAATATGTATTTTGAAGGTACTTTGATATTTGTCCATTTATCAAATGAATAGTAGTGGGTTCACCTCTGGAGCCTATGAGCCAGTTGTTATTGTAGTTCACAGGGTTCACAGCTGGATAAGACTGATGATGACTTTCTCCCTCTGCATAGAGCCTTTTGGTATTATGATGCTAGCCTGCAGGGAGGAAGCTTCCAGGTCAGTACTACTTTGATTTCTCCAAGTCCTATGACCAAAGTGTATGGTTTTTTCAGCAGCAGAGCCTTATCAACAGGCTCTGGTAGGCAACCAATGTTCAAGAGTTTGTGAGACCTTATCTCCGGACTTCCCCGGGAATGAACGTCCCCACCTTCTAACCACATTTTGGGTCTTTTTGGTGACCAGCTCTCATCCTGAAGGTATCTAGGCGCTCAGGAATAATAGAAAGGGCCTTGGTGACAAAGAGTAAAAAGACATTCCTATTAGGAAATGCTAAAGGTTTTAAGAACTCTATGCTATAGACTAGGAAATAGATTTTATATTCTGTAATAGCCAAGCAGGTGCGACTCATTCCACAAATACATTCCTGATGAATAATAAGTGGCTCTTAAGAGGACCTGACAATATCATTTATTACATATTTATGCTGGGTTCACTGGGTGACTATTAGGTGACTATCTGTGTGTACTATTTGGCTTTATCCAAAAGAAAAACAAACTTCCCACATGATTATTACAAGACGTAGTTTTGCAATGTGGAGTGACTCTCATCATGAAGTTAGGCTCTTCCAGCCCTCAGAAACTGGGAGAGAGGGTTGTCGTCTTCCTTTGTGATTGCATTTTGAAGACATGGACCCCAGCTTCTTGAGAAGCATATAACAATGTCTTAGGGTTGGCAAGAAGATTCTTTAGCTTTTACTTTTATCTATTTCTTTTCCTTTTGAGACAAGGTCTCCCTGTAACCCCAAGTGTCCTGGAACTCACTATACATACAGACCAGGCTGGCCTTGAACTCACAAAGATCTGCCTGCCTCTGCCTCCCGAGTGCTGGGATTAAAGGCGTGCGTCACCACGCCTGGCTATCTATTTATTTTTATAAGACCTTACCTTTCAGTCCAAGCTCAGAGCTCTTCAAACCAGAGGTCTTCCTATACTTGAGTCCCAGGAAACCAGATTTCCCTTTTTGGTTAGAGGTTTTTTGTTTGTTTGTTTTTTTTTTTTTGGCCTATATCATTACCAGTATTTATTTGTTTTCTTAAGCAAGTGACATTTGGACTGCAGAAAGATGGAATCTCAATATAGGTTTTAACTTAATTTTAGTTTTATTTTTTTGAGACAAGGTTTCCCTGTAGCCCCAGCTGGCCTAGAACTTGCTAGGTAGACCAGACTGGCCTCTGTCTCACAGAGACCTACTTCCTCTGCCTCCAGAGTGCTGGGATTAAAGGTGTGTGCCAACATGCCTGGCCAATATAATCATTTTTTGACTCAATTTTAAAGTGTTATTTTTTAAACTGGTGAGTTTGTGTTTTCACTAGCATTATACTGCATTTTTCTGATGCAAAATTCTCACATATTTCTTTTTTGTACATTTTTGTTGTTATTTTGTTGTCTATCTTTTGTTTATGGCAAAAGTTGTTATGCTGATCTTGCACTCATGAGGTACATTAGATGCCAGGCAACAATATAAGATACTGTGGAAAAAAAGATGGTTCCTAACATTCTATACCGGGGCAAGTTTTCACTCATAAGGAACGAACCAAAATAATGAGGTTCTCATATTTGCAAGGTCTTAGATTATATTATAGTGCTCCTTTCTCAAAAAAACTAAGTATATACTTAAAAAGCAGAATAAAGGGAACTCATGAATATGCATGCTAATGCTCAAATGGGGGATGCCAGCATTTAAGAGTTCTACAAGTACCATTCATGTAATCTTCACAACAACCCTATGAAATAGGTGCTGTTACTATTCAATTTTATAGACAGGAAACAGAAGCACAGAGGAGTTAAATAATTTACTGGGATCATGGAGCTCATATGGGCAGAGTTCTGGGCCAAAGATGGTGGTTTTTCAAGGTTATGTATTTGATCATTATGCTCTACTGTGGAAAAGGGGAAGTAAAAAATGTGGACGTGCGCCCCGTGCGGTGTCTGTCAGCGATAAACATCCCATGGGGTATCAGAGATTAACAGATAAATTTAAACATAGAAAAGGCTATATATATATGTATATATATAATAATTAGAATTCTAAATTTAGTTGATCAAAATCACATAATGCAGAGATGTTTTTTATATTTTATTTATTATTTTTATTTTATGTGTATGAGTGTATTGCCTGCATGTATGTGAGTGCACCCATGTCATGCAATGCCACGGAGGTCAGAAGAGGGTTTTGGATTCCCCTGGAACTGGAGTTAAGGATGGTTTGTAGCCACCATGTGGGTGCTGGGAATCAAACCCAGGTCCTCTGTAAGAGCAGTCAGTGCTGTTAACCTCTGAGCCATCTCTCTAGCCCTGTGAGTTTTTTTAAAAAATGTAATTCAGGGACAAAAATACAAGACTGTGAAGCAATTCTGGAGGGAGGAAAATGTAAGTGGAAAAATGAAGAAGGAATTGTCAAGATAAGTTTATAGTTTTTCATAAAACGTATCAACCTATTTTTGTTTTCAAACTTGAAATGTATATATTTAAGACTGTCATTCAAAATAATGAAGGAAAAATAAAATAGCCCAATTTCTATGAGATAGTAAATTGGAAAAATCTAGAACAATATAGATTAATAAGACAAAAAATAGCAGTGACACACACCTGTAATCCCAGCACTCGGGAGTCCGAGGCAGGAGGATTCCATGTTTAAGGCCAGCCTGGGCTCCATAGTGAGAGTTTTTCTCTCTAAATTAAAGAAGCCAACTAACCAACCAATGTCAAAAAACAATAAAGGTAAAACACAAGGTCAGTTCAGGAAGGGTGAATCTTAACTGTGGAACTTAGGAAGACGCTGTGGTAGAGATGCTACAGGGCGGAGCAAGGGAAAAAACGGGCCATAGAACTTAGACATAAACTTTATTTAAATGCAGTTTAATACGCTTTAGTTTTCACTGTCAGTATATCCCCGGGAGAGAGTGGCGGAGGGCTCCCTTTATGTCACTGGTCTGAAATCTCAAGTTCAAGCCCTTGGCAACACAAACCCTTTTCCTGCCACTCCGAGTCTTTGTTCATTATCCCAAATAATGCAGATACCTCCCCAATGTCCTTTTCGCGGCTGCCTTCACCTCCTGGTTCTTCAGACTGTAGATGAGGGGATTCAGCATGGGGGTGACCGCACTGTACTGCAAGGAGGAGAGCAGATCTAGAGAGGAGCCAGAGGTGGGCATAAGATAGCGAACCAAACCTGACCCGAAAAACAGGACCACAGCAATGAGGTGAGAAGAGCAGGTGTTGAAGGCCTTGCTTCTCCCTGTGGTGGAGCTCATGCTCAGGATAGTGGATACAATGCGGGCGTAAGAGAAGAAGATGGGGAGAAAGGTTCCGAGCCCATGCAGCAAGATGGAGCAGATCAAGATGTCTACGCTGATGGCGATGTCAGAGCAAGACAGAGGGAAGAGAGAGGGCAGCTCACAGGTGTAGTGGTGGATGGTTTGGGTCTCACAGAAGTCCAAGTTAATGGCCAACAGTACAATGACTACTGAACTTAGAGAGGCCAGGCCCCAAGAGAGCAGAACCAGCTTCAGACAGAGCTCATTGCTCATTATCTGGCCATAGAGCAGCGGGTGGCAGACAGCAGCATAGCGGTCGTAGGCCATCATTGAAAGAAGAAAGGCTTCAGTCCCTGCGGTGATGAACACAAAGAAGACCTGAGTCAGGCAGCCCTGGACGGAGATGGTTTTCTTCTCAGACAAGAGGTCCTTCAGCAGCTTCGGCACCGTGACCGAGGAGAAGCAGAGGTCCAGGAACGACAGGTTGCTTAAGAAGAAGTACATGGGAGTGTGGAGGTGGCAGTCAGCCCTGATCACCAGCAGCATCATCAAATTCTCCGTCATGGTGAGGAGATAAATCCCCAGGAACAGCACGAAAAGCAGAGCCTCAGTCTGGGGGTCGTCAGAGAGCCCAGTGAGCATGAACTCCGTGATGGCGCTGTGGTTCCTCCAGGCCATCTGTGGGTGATATTTCCTTGGAATAAAATAGAAAGAGGCATGAACTTCCTATAATCGTGACTAGCTCCTTCAGGATGTCATCCCTTCTAATACATCCCTCTCGGCTTTGCCAGGACTGTGTGATCAGATGTCTCAAAGCTGCTCTCACGTCTGCCTCAGTAACAGTTTTTAATCCTGTTCTGTTATCACCGATTTGGGGTCACAGTCTTCACATACTTAAACAGGATTCTATTCCTCTTCCACTGGAATTTACTCGAAAAATGAGTGTCTCTGTAGCACTTCCCTTACAGTTCAGAATAGCATCTTTTGGCCCTGTTTTTCTAAACCATGTCTTCTCAATTCCTTATTTTTTTTCTTTTTGTTCAAAGAAATTCAGTGGCACTTTACTGAGACTGACTCCTTTATATAGTGGATACTGTGCCCGGTGCTACAGGCTTTCTGTACCAGGTGGAAATCTCTGGGATTAAAGGCAGCTGGGTGTGGTGGCGCATACTTATAAACCCAGCACTTGGGAGACTGAAGCAAGAGGATTGCTGTGAGTTCCAGGCTAGCCTGAGCTACATAGTGATTAATTACCAAGCTAGTCCAGAATGCAAAGTGAGATACTATCTCAAAAAAAATTAGAAGGCAAGAATGAATGTAATCAGACTAAGTATATTTATCTTTTGGACAACGCAGTCATAAAAAATAAATTAGAATTCTTATTGAAAAAGGGATCCACAAAGCAAAAATGACTGGTATTTATGAAAGTTATAATGTGACTGCATAGACAGCACATTTAACTTTAATAGGACTTTACACAGAGTAGCATTTTATCAGTTACTATCTCAGTTGATTTCAAAGAAATTCTTTGAGAACAGCCAGGAAATTCTTATCCCTAGGATAAAGAGTTTTGTCTCTACTTTTCCTGTGAGAGATTTGATATACAGGAATAATAAAAGAAACTGCACAATTTTCTTCTCGTTATCATCTCGATGTCTAGACTTGGATCATAGTGATAAGTAACAATTTATTACTTTGAGATTCAGAGTTTTAGGGGCTGGGGATGTGATAGAGCATTTACCTAGCACGTATGAGGCCTTAGGTTGGAACTTCAGCTCCTAAAACAATAACATTAGTACAATAATTTATTTTTTAGTGTGTGTGTGGCACGTGCCACAGTGCACATATGGAGGTCAGAGGACAACTTGCATAAATAAGTTCTTTCCTCCCTCCATGTATCAGGGATTGAACTCAGCCTGTCAGGCTTGGCAGCAAGTGCCTTTACCTGCTAATCCATATTGCCAGCTCTATTTTGGCTATTTTTGGTATAAAAATTAGTTTGCTTCTTTCTTGGTCATTATTCACATTTTTCCACTTTTAATATCCTCTTAATTCTATGAATTCAAGCTTTCATGTGCTCGCCAATGTCACCTATCAACCTTTCTTTTTATGGCCTGTCATAGCTGCTATCTTCCTTACCTTGAAGTTTTTCTTACTTTATGTCATAGTCTGAACTGTGTTTTTTCTCCCTCATGAAAAACATTTCAGTTTCCTCCTCCAGACCATGAGCCCTCAGAGGACATGTACAACTATACAACAGCCTTAAATCAGTACTTTTTTTACTCTATCCCTATATATCCCATGTTGGTTTCAGACTAGACTTCTCAGACTATTCTGGAAGCCTCTCTATGGTACATCATTTATGTTTTAGACAATAGCTGATGACTACTTCAAGTGTAATCTCATCCTTCTGAAGCTCCAGTGTCTTCAATAGCTTAACATCCAGCAGAAGTATTACTGATGGTGATTAAAGTTGCACGCTGCCTAAAGTTGCACGCTGCCTAAAGTTGCACGCTGCCTAAAGTTGCACGCTGCCTAAAGTTGCACGCTGCTGGATTTCAAGGATGTGCTCATTGGCACGGAGTGTGTCTTTCAAGTAAGGCACTGCAACATCCTCTGAAACTCTCATTTTTGCACAATCTCCGAAATCACTGACATTAGTTCAGGATGCTGTTTGCGTTCATGTTATAGATATATTACCATTTTATTACCCCCAAGGGTCATTATGAACGCTCTCATCATTTTCTTTTAAAGATTTCTTATGTCCTTGAGCCATACCTTTACTGTGTGCCCAATAGGGCCAAAATTATGAAGTTTGTGGTAATGGTGATATTAAAAATGATTCAAACCTGAATTTGCTCCCACGGTACAAATTTGTTCTGTATTTTCAAAAATATTTTATCTTGTTGATTTGGATGACATTGATTCTAACCACTGCCAGAAATCGTTAAGCAGGTGCTAGCTCATCAGCAGAAGGTTAAATTTTGGTCCTATTACCCATTATACTAACCTGGAGTTCCAATTCATCTTAGACCCACGTCTAGGTTACCTGTGTGCCTGAACAAGCAGGGGCCTGCCCGCCTTTGTGTTCTAGCAGGTCCAGAGCTTGTATCCAATGGTCGTGAGGCATAGGCAGCTTGGGAAGTTACTTTGGAGGATCCTGCACAGATAAAATTGTAGATACTGTTGAAAGCAAACACTTTGGAGTCTATTTAAACAAAGTCAAGTGGTGAAGGGGAGACATTTTCTGCAAATACTTGGGTATTTCAAGATATATGTAGGTAGAGCTATCTTGAAAATTCCTTTCTTTCTTCTACTTTCTTTCACAAGGTGGACATGGCCTTAATGTGGGGTAGGGGCTTCAAGCTCTTATGCTGAGGACTCTGCAGTGTCTCTGGAGAATCCCTTTCTGTCTCTCTATAGTCACACTTTGTTTGAGAGAATCAAATAAGAATTTCATTTGATTTTCCAAGTTATCACAAGGAAAAGTGCTACCCTAGTCTCTTGTTCTAAACAGCACCCCCAACTAATGTCTGGTATTCATTTGATGACCAGTATCAAATATTTTCAGTGAAATCCTAGGCAAAGCAAGCAAAAATTGCAATCACTCTTCCAAAGGGGAGATATCGACTCATTTAATTCTGAGGTATAAAAGACTGATGCTGGATTTTAAATGTGGGCTGAGAGCAGGAAAACAGAGAAAGGAGGTTGGTGAAAGGGAGGAAATATGAAAAGAGGATTTCAGACAGACTTAGATAAACATGTGCCACCATTTTGCAGCCCTTTATTTCAGTGGCTGGCCATTTGGTTAACTTCTCTTGCAAAGAGGAGTAGTAATTTGTTTAAGATTCTATAGCTATAGAAAGTTCACTGAAGTAAATGTCTTTCTCAATTCAGCTATTAATACAGAAAATCACAGATTCGGTTTACTGACTTAAGAATCAAGTCCAAAAAGAAGTGAGTGAAGGTATGTATGGAAGCTTGGATAGGGCGACTGGAGGGTTCTGGGGCCAAGGGCTAGCATTTTGACTGTAGGCAGAGGGGGAGGAATCATGGGGTCGGATGACAGAGCTGAAGGCAGGAAGGTTATTCTCTGAGGTGTCCTCTTTGACTCACTCATACTGTTCAGTGTGCCGGTCATGAATAGATTTGAGGGTGGTTTCAATAGCAGGAAAACTTTACTGCAGTTCCCCTAGTTAGAACTCTGGGCAAGTTGGGAAATAAGTAGCTCCAATAGTCCAAAGTCTGTCTCTGATACACTTAATACATTCTAGATGGGTGCTTTCTGAAATCTTTTGGGATCCTTTAGGATGAAAGACGTCTTTAAGTCTTTAAGTTGGTATTGCAGTGAGTGACAAGCAGGGAGCGAATAGAGACTTTTTAATAAGGTATCTAAGGTAGAAGGTACAAACATGCATTTTGGGAACACAGACCTGTCTGGGTTCCATGAAGTGGAGATGGTCTGCCAAGGACTAGGAAGTGCCCATCTCTAGCTTAGGGATGAGGGATGGCAGGAGCAGGATGAATGGAATAAATCATAAAGTAGTGAGAGGTGGATGTGGGAAAGGGAGACAGTCAGCAGCAGACTTAAAACACACAGAACTGCAGGCACACACAGGGGCGAGTGGAGAACCAGATTGCTACCTTACTCTCCTCTTGACTTTTCTCCGAGGAAGTAATTGCTTGCGTTCTGTCTGTCCCATCACAATAGGCATTTCACAGGTAAAAATTTATATGAAACAATCCCACCAGTCTGACTCTGCACAAAGCAGAATTTCTCTTTGATTTCAGTGGGCACAAGATATTAGAGCGCTATAAAACCCAGAATCAGTGATATTGCCACAGAACCAGGATTATTCTTCTGCGCATCTTAAGCTACAGTGCCATTCTGCTATGCAGGGTCCTGTAAGGACACCTCCTCTACAGAAGCTCGTATTTGGAACAATAGTAGTAAATTTTGTAAAGCTTCCCAATGAACACCGTCTTCATGTATTTCTTCTGTGGCTCTGAATATTCTTTTAGAAGTGCTACTTAAGGAAAAAAAAACCTCCCCAACATAACCAATGAGAAGGCTCTCTGCATTTAGTCAGGCACCCAGGGGAAGCTGGGCCGATGAGACTTCAGAGTCCCTGAAGTCTCAGCCTGAAGCCAAGCTCTGGATTCACTACCCACAACTTCCAGTTAGCTGAGAAATTAAATTTAGAGATGCAGGGGATGATCTGCAGGACAATATTTCAATCTATGCTTTAAAATAATTACTTAGAGCCTAGAAGGAAAGTCTTATTAGACTGAAAGGGGAAAAAGGGCTTAAAGAAAAACAACGGTTTTGGAACATGGATATTTCATTTATGGCAGCCTGGGGCTGAGAATACCCTTTGGTAGTTTCAAGGACGCAGAGTTGTGGCACATTAGTGGTGTCATGTCATTTTCTAGTGCACATTGCATTTTCTTTATTTGTTTGCTTGTTTATGCTTGAATCAAGATCTCATTTTCCCAGGATGGCCTTGAACTCCCTCTGTAGCTGAGGCTGATCTTGAACTGCTGACCCTTCTGTCCCCATTTCTCCAGTGCTGGGATTATAGGCATGCATCACCATGCCAATTTTATGCCATGTTGGGGATTATACTTAGTACTTTGTACATGTTAAGCAAGCACTGTACCAACTGAACTACATCTCC